TGCACGCATACAACAGATCACCTGTTGACGGCCGGGTGAGAATACTTCCTCCCTTCAAACCGGGAATACTGGAGGAGTTAGAGACGGCGGCAAAGGCCGAGAATTCTGAAGCTGCAGAAGAATATGGATGGCTCCTTGACATCGAACGCTGGCAAGAGCATCGACGGGGACTACCCAATGTTATTGTGCTACGCACTGAGGGTTCTGTCTTTTCATCAGGCCACGACCTGGGCGAGCTACGAAAACTGAGCCACGACGAAGTAAAGGAGACATTCGCCCTCTGCGCCGAAGTCATGTCCTTGATCAGGCGCTCTCCGGCCCCAGTGATTGGTGTTATCCAAGGCCTGGCGACAGCTGCAGGAGCCCAGTTGGCTCTGACAACGGATCTCCCGCTGGCGTGCGCTTCAACTCAATTTCGCCTGCCTGGAGCATCGTTAGGGTTGCCATGCACATCTCCGTCCACAGCCGTCTCGCGCAGACTGGGACATGCGTTTACCTACCGGATGCTGGCCCTGGCCGAGCCAGTTCGAGCCGATCAGCTCCCAGGAGGGGCAGTTGAGGTGTTTCCAGATGAGGCAGCCCTAGAGATGCGGGTTGCCCAAATAGTTAGTCAGTTATCCGAGAAGACGGCTGCACAGCCACAGGCGCTGGGCAAATGGGGATATTGGACGCAGTTGGGACTGTCTGGGGCATCCTCTACTTCCGGAGGAGATGGCTACGAAGATGCCGTGGCATGGACCGGCAGGCTCATGGCTCTTCATGCAAGATCTGCGGATGCCAGGGAAGGTATCAATGCCTTTTTTGAAAAGAGACCGCCCGTGTGGAAGCTCTAAGCCTCCACGATTCCTGCTTGTCCGCAGCAGTGTCTCCTGACATAGGATGATCTGATCGACCTAATGGGGTGGTCCCAGTCGATTTAAGTACGGACAGAAGAAGCCATCGCAACAGGGATCCATCTTGTGTGGTAAATGATTACCAACAGACCGAGGGTTCGAGACCTCGAGTCGAAGTTGCGATACTAGGTACCTAGATTAGTTAAACCCACACATTACACAGGTAGCGAGCTGGTATGAACCTAGCGAGACCTGCCCACCTTTTAGGAACCTTTTAGGAACCTTTTAGGGGCCGCAGGGCCGATTTCGAGATCCAATTGGGGCGCCATGCCCCCCCAATCACCCGCCCAGCGCCCACCCCGCTGTCAGATTGTCTCCCCTGTTTCTCCCGTTAGAATCAACCGAAGTGCCCCTCCTCCGCGATTATGGACAAAGTGAAGAAAAAAAAGTTCATTCATACGGATTTATCATCGCCCCTAGGACAATGCCAGAATCCTCAAGGGGACGAGATTTTCAATGGCTCATGGCGAGCCTCAAAAGGTTGACACCGTCATTGTTGGTAAGTGCTGCTCACTCCATGACCGATGCTCATATCTCTCGTCACCAAAGGTAGATAGAGGGAAACTAGACTGACTCTGTACCTCTTGCGCCCTCTATAGGAAACGGCCCCTCCTCTCTGATTCTCTCGTACATCCTCCATGGACACATCCCATACTACGATGAATCTAGCCCGCATCCGGATGCCATCCTCCACGAGAAACTGCTCCGGCTGGGCCATGATCTCCTCGATATCGACTTCGACCACCTGACGGAGCATTTCGCTGGTTCGCGGTTCTCCTACTCAACGCAAGCCCTGCCGGTGAATGTATTATTGGACACATTAGTGAGACCTCTGGGAGAAACCGATGACGCGGAGAAAAAGACGTGCATTCGATGGGCCTACGAGCCTTCGCGAGCGGTTGCTCATATGGTTATTGGACAAACCCACAGTACAGGCGGGCAATGGGTAGAGAATCCTGTCCACGCAAGTTGGGATATTGGAACTCTTAGTTATGCGGGAATGATTTCGCTTCCCGGCTACGGCTTTGATGAACACTACCAAAGACGAAATGGTCGGCCAATGCCCGTCTATACCAGGCCATCCCGCCATGCTGTGGCCGACTATCTTGCCGAATATCCCTTCCATGTGGGCATCGCCGACTCAATCCATAATGGAGAGCAAGTCCGGGGGATTTCTCGTCGGGGCCATGGTTTCTATATCGCGTCGCATAATGTTCTGTGCAAGAATCTCGTCCTCGCGTCGGGAATTTTCAGCGAGCTCATCCAACCACGACCGCTACTCCGTCCTCTTGTCGAACTTCGTGCCAAACAGATGGGGCCGTCTACAAACCCACTTCTTGTCATTGGCTCCGGCTTCAGTGCTGCCGATGTGATTATCTCGAGCCCACCAAGCCAAAAAATTATTCACATTTACAAATGGGCTCCGTCGACGTCACCCTCTCCGTTACGTGCTTGCCACCAGCAAGCTTATCCCGAATATGCAGGCGTGTACCGGCGGATGAAACTTGCCGCGAACCCTTCTGCAAAGCCCAAGGACAAACGCCCGAGATATCGTCGAATCATATCTGACTTCGATTTGAGTCGCGATTGGAATGCGACCTACGAAGGGTTGCCGAACACTGAAGTCGTTGATGTCCAGGTCTCTGACGACGGACTAGCAGCTACAGTCACTTTTCAGAACGCCAGCACGAAGGAATTACCATTTCAGCGCCAAGTGAGTGGTTTGGAGTATGTGGTTGGAAGACGGGGCTCGTTGGAGTATCTCGCACCATCCCTTCTGCAGGAAGTGATACCTAAAGAAGCCGAATCGCTACGTGGTGCTGGTATGATATCAGCACAGACACTGCGCGAAAAGGCGAACGAAGATCTCGAGGTTGCGCCACATGTTTTCATTATCGGTAGTCTGACTGGTGATTCTCTGATTCGCTTTGCATATGGCGGATGTGCCTACGCTGCGGGAAAGATAATGCGCGGGAGTCAAGATGGCGAGACTAGAGATCAGTCGAGCAAGCTAACGAGCAACGGGTCGGTCAAGGTTTGTTTAGGCCAGTACCAAACCCCGGCGTCCTCACCAAAGATTCCTGCTATGAGCGGTCTGGATGGACATGAGTCGAGCCCTGTGAGTTTAGCGGAAAGGGCTAATATGTCGCTGGATAGACGCAAAGAATGATAGAGCTTTTGGTAAGACAGATGCGCGGGTGATAGCTGTAATCCAGGTCTGGCGTATTAGATACCACTTCAGTGTACATACGATATTGAAGATGGGGCTACGTCAATTCATCCTCTGAAGGTTGTCACGTCTTGAGAGCCTCAGGCATGAGGCCGAATGAAGTGGCGAAAAAGCCAATCGGCCAGACTTCGGAAAGCAGCTCCGAAGCTAATGATGTCGTTGAAACATGGATTTCGACATGGAGTCGATGGCAAGTGGACAGCTTTTCCCAAATTTTGACAGAAAGTCAACAGCCAATGGAATCCACTTCACCATCCATCGCACCAAGGGATCAGAGTGGCTTCTTTGAGGAGACGGTAGCATGTCATGGAGGGTCTCACGCCTTCATGCTGGAGTCCCCATAAGGAGGAGGCGACCACGCGTCTCAGAGATCTTGCTGACCCTTCGTGAGCATGTCCGAGTTCGACACGAATCGACATCTACCAAAGGATCACTATCCACCGATGGTCTTAATACCATCACCACCCATGGGCAAACCGGCGACCAACAGAGCAAGAACATTCCATCCTACGACCCGGACAGTTCCAGCTCGCTCGCAGACACTGGCCGCCTCATCGTCAGCGACTACGCCTGCCTCCGCGCCCACTACATGACGCCTAAGTATCCGATCGTGCTGGCCCACGGGCTGATGGGGTTCGACGAACTGCGGCTCGCGGGGGATCTGCTACCCGGGATCAGTTACTGGCGCGGGATCAAGGAGGCGTTTCAGGCGCGCGGGGTGCAGTGCATCACGACGACGGTGCCGAGGACGGCGTCGATCGCCGAGCGCGCCGAGGTGCTCATGGATCAGATCGCGAATAGACTTCCTGCGGCGGCAACTGGGGGACAGGGCGAGGATGGAAACGATGGTGGGAGGGAAGTGAACATCATCGCGCACAGCATGGGCGGGCTGGACGCGCGGTACATGATCTCGCGGCTGTGTCCTCCACCATCACTCTTCCGCGTGCGGTCCCTGACCACCGTCGCCACACCGCACCGGGGCAGTTCGACCGCCGACATGCTGATCCGGGACATCGGGCCGGACCTGCTCCCGCGGCTGTACCAGCTCCTGGGCCGCATGAACATCGACTCGGGCGCCTTCGCGCAGCTGACCACCCGCTACGTGACTGAGCACTTCAACCCGCGCACCCCCAACGACCCGTCGGTCAAGTACCTGTCGTACGGGGCCAGCGCGACGCCGCACCTACTGTCCGTGTTCCGCCTGTCCCACGACCTAATGGACGTGCTCGAGGGCCCCAACGACGGCCTCGTCAGCGTCAGGAGCGCAAAGTGGGGCGAGTACAAGGGCACTCTGGCCGGCGTCACGCACCTGGACCTGATCAACTGGACGAACCGCCTCAAGAAGATGGCCAGCCGCGTCGGCCTGGTCGAGGAGAAATTCAACGCTGTGGCCTTTTATCTCGCCGTGGCCGAGGAGCTGGCTAAACAAGGGCTCTAATGGGAATAGAAGTCATACACTGTATGGGAGGACTGAATGGGACATGTGTATTTCTAGGCTGGGTTTGGGACAGGAGACCGGACTTTATGTGCTTATAATGATAAGGCGTGCATATCGACCCAAGGTGCGGCTGGAGAGAGGGAGCAACAATGCGACAATCCTCCCCTTCTCCAAAGTGTCTTGCAGTGAGACTGCCATTGGAACCATATAGTAGAGCCGCATTGACCTACGTCCTCCCTGGAATTACCATAGAAATCTCTAGAACGAATTCAGTCAATATGGTTTATAGCATGCCCTTCCGAGCAATGTCTATGTTTGTAGAGGATTCGACTCCAATACGCCAGCCCCATTGTGTAATTGCCCGCCCTTCCCCTAGAACAACCACACTCTCCGTCTTGTCTGACATCGAACGCTGCACTATCTCCCATGGTCCCGTATCTTAGTCTTCCCGCGAGATCTTATCCGGCACTTCAGGATGAGGAGACATGACGGTTTTGATTAGGTCTTCGATGACTTTGGCGCCTGCCTTCTTGCCCGCCTGGTCGATCTCCTTCACTTTGGCCTCTGCGTCCTTGCTGGCATCGTCTTCGGCCTTCTTGTTCCCGCTTGATTGCTGTGCATAAAATTGATAAGCTTCGCAGGCCTGGCTCCGGGGTTATCGTAGAATGCGCACCTCGGCCTCAAACTTCTTGAACTCTTCCTCCTTCTTCTTCCTATATTCCTCGATCTCCTTCTGAGCTTCCGTTTTGGCGTCCTTTACCCTCTTTGTCCGATCTGGCGAAGAAAAGGGGCGCGTTAGACTGATCCGATATACGCTAGACAGCGGAGAGCTGTCAAAGCTTACATTCTCTGGCTACAGTGTAGGATTGCGTTAGTAAGGAATCTCGCTCGTCACGGAACAGAACGTAGGATACATACCTTTCTGGACAATCTTCTGAGCCTCTTTCTCTGCCTGCCCAAATATTTTAGCACCTCTTGCGTTTTCCCCCCCGAACCTCACTCTTGACTTACGTCCAGCAGGGTTTGGATGCCCGCCGAGTTTTGGGCAGACTGGATCGGCATTAGCATAAACGTAACGCCGTTGGAGGGACAGATACGAACCATCTTGCTATTGACGAATTCGAACAAGTGGTGTGAAGAAGAGGAGTAGAAGAGGCTACGAGGAACAAGCAGGAAGAGCTCAAGGAAAGGAGGATTGCGCAGAGAAAGTTGTGTTTGAGCTGGTGGTGTACCTGTCAAGCCTGTTTAGTTAGTGTTCGTATCCTAGCGATGATGCGCCTGCCCGCCGAGCTCTCTCTCCCTCTCGAAGCTGTGGAGCTTCGTTGTTCTCCAACTCCCGCCCGCTTAAACATTTATTTTTCCCCTTCAATTGCTTTTCTTCACCAGCAAACATCGTTTTTGGAAGGGTCAATCAATCACCATGTCTACAGCCTCGAAGATTACCCTCCTCAGCACTATTCTGGGTACCGCCGGCATAGTCGCCTTTGTCCACTGGGCCCAGACCGCCGAACAAGCTGTATGTACACATGTCCTCGATCCCTGATCCGTCATCTGATACAGCTGTTGCGCACGTGTGGATCCTCGACACTGACTCCTATTCTTTCTTTCACAGGCCATGCATGCCGGTGTCGTTCGAGATATGGAACAACAGCGCATAAAGAGAGAGAGACAGGCCGACTTTGACATGCAGAGACAGCTGGAGGAGGAATATAAGAAAGTGCAGACTGTGCATGACAGTACCAGTGGTGCCTGACAGGATGACTCTACTCGACTTCCTTGAAAGGACCTCCGACGCAGGTTCGAATGGCCATCTTCGAGTATAAAGACTTCCGAATACGCTGAGTGAGCGAGGGAGCCCGAAGCTGCCGCGGCCGTACCGCACTCTCGTGGCACTGGTCAGTGACGACATCCGGGACAACTCCAATTTGAAGGAGGAATCGCGGAAGAGACCACCACCTACGGTCGTGTACGGCCGCAAAGCCGTTTCCTTCCTACAGGGTACAGTGCTCTATAAGCCACATTCTGAGCATGGCAGTGGCTCCGGGTCACGTTTTTCCGGGTATGAGAAAGGAGGTGGAGTGATGCGCTTATGAGCAGGAAGCACTTCGCTTCCGCCGCCAGAGAGATACAACCATACAGGCCCGGAGATTCTGTTGACACACGGAAATAGGGCCAGCCTTGGATCGAACCTCGATACCACAAGGCCAGAGGACTCAGACGGTGCTGAGGCAGCAGCAATCTCGACGGTGTCCTTTGTACGATTACGTATGTTCGCTGAGCGTGGGCCACAGTTGGAGAGCAGAAAACTGCTTGTATATTATCGCGACGAAGCGGCCGGAGTTAGTTATTGAAGCGGATTCATCTCCACTCCCTTCTATCAAGGTCACACAAATCCATATTGAATATATGAATGAATACCATTCATGGTATACTGCGCGCTTCCAGAGATCAGTCCAGATACTCTTTACACTAGAGGAGCCTCTCTGGAGAAGAAAATAATGCCGGATAGATCTCGTCGTTTAATCCCCGTTTTATTGTTTCATGTATGATACAACCCATAATAGACACCATGTGTCTCGGACATCCCAAACATCTCAAAACATAATCACTCACTCACTCAATGCCCGATCCCGCCGGCAACCCAGTTATTCCAGTCCAGATCCCCGGGGGGCGGGAACATACCTCGATCCTGGCCGCCGTTGTTCGCGTGGGCTTGTTGCTGCTGCTGTGGCGGGTGCTGAGGAGCGGCTGCCTGGGCGAAACCCTGGTTCTGGTTCTGAGCTTGAGCTTGAGCCCGAGCTTGGGCTTGACGCCTTTCTTCCTCCAGAACCCTCTGGCGGGCCTGGCGGGCGTAGACGAGAAGGGCTAGGGCGCCGGCGAGGGCGATGATGATGAGGCTCTCGACGAGGCCGTCGTCGATCTCGTCCCACTCGTCGGCGCCGTAGACGTCGCCTTCGACCCGGCCTGGGCCTCCTCCGCCCTGCTGGCCGTGGCCGTGGCCGTGTGTGGCTCGATCGGCGTATTCGGTGTTACCGTCACCAGCCACCCCTGGGTCGGCGTAGCCCAAGAGCTCGTCGTCTCCATCGCGCTCCCTCGCGAGAGCTTCTGCCTCGCGCGCGTCCATCTCTTCCGCCGCATCCAGGAATCGGTTCACCCACTCGATCCACGTCTTGGGCCGCCGCTGTTCCTCTTCCGCCTCGTCGTCTTTGATCCCGTTGACCTTTCCACCACTCACACCATTCCACCAGCTTCGGAGCCTTAGTTTTGCCAAAGCCAACGTCACGGGCAGATAGGCCTCTTTGTTCATCTCCAGCGCGAGGTCGTAGTAACGCTTGGCCATGTGGAAGTCCTGCGAGACGCTGCCGATGCCATTTTCGTGCATCCAACCCAGATTCCACAGGGCCTGGGCCGAGTGATGTGTTTCCGCAGCCGTGGTATAGCACGTTGTTGCTTTTTCCAGGTTGGTTTTCGCTTCGCCGTTGTCTTCGGTCGGGAAAAGCGTGAGTGCTGCGTTGGTGGGTGATGACAGGGAGAGGTAATAGTCGCCCATCTTAATCAAGGAGTCAACGTTGGCTTGTTTGGCAGAGCGGGTAAAGTATGCCAGAGCCAGGTATGGATCGTTGAGCAGTTTGCTCTTTTTCGCGCCGGATTTGGTCGTCGAGAGAAGAGGAATATTGAGATCGGGTAGCGATATCACCGATGTCTTGTGGTCGAGCAAGTACGCCACGTTGGCTTGTGCATTCTCGTACCCTTGCTCAGCAGCCATCATCGAAGCAATATACGCTCTTTCAAAGTCACCTCTTTCGTAAGCCGAGTTGGCTTCAACAAAGGAGGAATGCAAGACTTCTGCCCTTTCAGCAACCACCTTGTAGTAGGCAGCTGCCAGGCCGCAATTGCGCTCACGGCCGACTCCTTGGTTTGTGAGTTCGGCCAGATAGTAAAATGACTCCATGACTCCCGCTCCGGCTGCGAGTTCAAAATATCGTCCGGCGGTCTCGATGTCCCCCTGGTCCAGGAAGAGCACTCCCAGCGCCGATTGAGCCAGAGGGAGAGACTGTTCTGCGGCAGCCTTCAGATATGAGCCAGCACGTAGCCCATCCTGCGGCACGCCGAGACCATCGCGATACATCAAGCCCATGTGATATTGAGCAAAGGAATCACTGAGGGCAACACCTCTCTTGAACCATATTTGAGCCTTTTCAAAGTTTTGTTCCATGCCCTCGCCACGGAGGAACATGCGTCCAAGATAGGCTGCCGCTTTTCCCGCCACACGTTCGATGCCCTTTGGTGCCTTTGCGGACACTTTGCCGTCTTTTGTCCAGTAGACCCGTGCGACTTTCATAAATTGTCGTTGTGCTTTGCGGAAGTTGCGCTTGTAACCCCGAGGGGCTTCGTAGTAGTGTTTGCCCAGTGTGATGATTGCGTTGAAGTCGCCTTGTCGCTCTTTTGTGTCGAGGTAATCGAGGACATAGTCAATATGCGCTGCGGTGACGCCATCTCGAGGAGCGTTGGGGCCCGAAGAGCTGACACTTGCACCTTCGCCGTAGATGCCTCCATCAACCTCGATCCAGCGGTAGGAGTTGCGGACAAATGAGTATCCCCCAGGAGGACCTGAATGCCAATATGATATAGCCTTGTCCGCTACTCTCTTGTAGTAGGAGACGGCCTTGTCGCAGTTTCTGGAACATCCAACACCGGCATGGTATCTGTAAGCCAGCGTCATTTCGGACTTGATGTTCCCTTGCTCCGCGGCAAACGTGTGATATAACAGCGCCTTTGCCTGGTCTCTTTCCAGGCCGCCAACTCCCGTCCCGTACATCAGTCCCAACATATATTGTGCTGTGGAATTGCCGTCCAAATCAGCCAGACGACGGTACCAATATTTGGCTCTTTCAAAGTCGCGCGGGTGGGAGAAGTTGCCGTAGAAATTCATCTCAGCGAGCAGGAAGATGGCGTCTGGGTCGTCAAAGGAGGCCGCCGTGGCGAGGGAATCCACTCCCTTCTTCAGGTCCCCTTTGATCTTAGGGCCATTGTTGTCGTCCCGTGTCGGAGTATTCATGAACAGCGCACGGAAGATGATTCTCGTGTAATGCCATACCGTTCCCAGGAGGCCAGAAGGTTGTGCCGGAGCCACGCTGTCTTTCCATGTCGGCTCAAAGTCCCGCAACACCGACCATATCTCGTGAACAATGTCATTTCCACCCTGCGCCCAGTAGTTGTGCTTCTCCTGCTCGCTGCGCGGAGACTCAAGCTCCGAGTCCAGCGATTCGGCTCTCACCGCAGTCGAGGTTCGGTATGAGGGGACGAGAATAGAAAGGGCGATGGATAAATCTGGACACGATACTTAGACCCAGGACCAGGCTTTAGAATGGGTGCAACTTACAAAGGAGGATCGTGAAGATCCCATCGAATCTCCGGGCCAGCATGGCTGTTTGTAGGCGAGCGTTACCGATGACACATTATGAGACCGCAGGGCAACTGCAAGCGGTAACCTCGACAGAAGAATTGCGACTACCTCCTTAGGGAAAACGAATCAACCGGAGAGTCGAAAATGATCGCGTGAAGAAGCCAGACTGTCGCGATGCATTTGGAGACGCAGTGCGCGATGACGCCGACTGCAGCCTTGCAGCCTTAAGTAAGCCTCACTAGTCCTGTTGGCAAGGCTGGCTCCCTTGCCTCCCAAGCTTATGTTCCACAGTTAAGAATACCAGTGTACATATCATATGTATTATCATTGTCTTTACAGCGCGTGCGGTGATTCGACCTGAATCATGTTGCAACAAGCGACTATATCTTATGATTACTCATGGCTTTGCACCATACCGAAGAGGTCGCAACCCTCCAGCACCAGGTTTTCGCTCCTTCGTGCGCTCTTCAATAGTACTCTCTAACTTTCTTCGTGGTTAGCAGTCTTCTACTCCCAATCCCGCTATCCTGCTTTCCAGTCCTCGCACTCGTGCCACGATCGAGATTGTTGACTTCAGACTTAATCTTCTTCTGGCTGTAAAGCAGCTCACTATCGTCAGTCAGCGGGCTTTGCGGATCGCTTGAGAAAGTGAGGTCTACCACAGGTGATCCTGAAGAAACCTGGGACAATCTTGACTTGCTCTGGCTTTGCGAGACCTTGGTATTAGCCCGATGCCGAGCCGAAAGATCAGGACTGCCCTGCGGAGTTGGGCTCTTTCCTGCCTTTTTCGTCGCATTGCGAAGAGACTTCCTTGCTGGAGCCGGAGGGGACACTCTTTTGGTGAGCGATCGGGTCCGTCTGCGGTTTCTTTGGGTGGAGAGAAGTTCGCTCAGGGAGGGCAAATCGCTGTCATTGTCACTAATGCCGGAGTCATGGTACGATGAGTCGTGACCATCGTACCCAAGTTCTCCTAAAAAAGAACTCCTGTCTCCTATTTCTTCACCATCGGTTGTCATGTTTTGGGAAGGCATCGAGGTCTTTTGGGATTGCGACTCCGGTATCTCCGACTCGAGTGAGTTAGGCTCGCCTTCTGAATGGCTATGGTTCTCAGCACCAAGGCTTTCAGCTCCTAGTTCACCCTTCTTGCCACTCGACATACCGTTTGATGCTGTCTTCGGGTCAGAAGCAGAGGATAGATCAATCGAGGGAGCTAGGGAGTCCTTTTGTGCATCCTGATGCAAGCTGCTGTTGGTGTTGCCCGTAGATTCCGAAGAATGGATGTCCATTTGAGAGATGTGAGGATAGTCTACGGTTTCCTGGGTCGGTATCAATGGTGACGAGGTTGGAGGGAGCTGGGAGCTCCCAGTCGCGTCAGCATCACCTGATCCTTCGTTGTGAGTGGTACTGGGGTCCACGTCCGATGAAGTATTCATACCAGGCAAAGACAAGTCGAGGCCGGGGGATCTTGGACGAAATCTGTGGGGGTATTGCCCTTGCGGTTGGGCCTCTTCTTCGGCGGGCACAGAGGGCGCTTTCAAGTCACCGGCCGCAGGGTCAGGGATAGGTCGAAGTAAATCTTCATCTAGAGCTGAATTGAAGCCCGCCTCCTTGATTATCCCATTGATTTCTTGTTTGCGAGGTGTATCAATTGTGTCGATGGCTGAACTTTGCTTTTCTGCTTCAATC